AGCAAGATTTCAAAGTGAAATTCCGGAGGAAATTTAAAGAGCATCCGGATCCGGAGAAAGACAGACAGAAAGAAAGAGGAAGGGAGAAAATAAATCAAAACGTGGAGAGAATCTCGGGCAGCTGAAGAAAGGACGGGAGAGAAAGGAGCTGACACCCGGCTGAGATGGGGTGAGACTGGCCGTTTATTATCCTTGAATTGCTTTTATTATTCATGGCCGCCGAGCTATTTTTAAGGTAATGGTAAAAGACACGGAGGCTTGAAATTGTGTTTTGTCCACATTGCAAGCTTTAAAGTTTAGACTTGCCTTTTTATTTTATGGGTTAGAAAGTAGATGATTTTTAAGTCTCTGCAACTTCTTTAAATCAACTCGTATGTAAGGGAAGCCTCGAGTGATCTATATGTTGTATGAAATCCAAACTGGGAGAGTGGGTGAGAGCACTGGAGCTGGCTTGTGCTCACAAAGTTTTCCAGAAGTTAGAAATTAGGGATTTCATTTGTCTGCTGTGACTCTGGCATTCAGTAAAATGAATCGTGTTTGCATTTCTGCATGGATTAATAGCTGATGGAAAATCCCTGATGGTTTAGTTTATGATCCTCCTCAGATTTTCCAAGAGTGAAATAATGCTGCATGGATGTGGCAGTGGAGTTTGGCATGGAAACAAGAGCTTAGTCTGGTATTTAATTTATGCCCTAGTTTTAAGTCTCAATCATGTAACTTTAAAGACCTGACGTGTTGTTGGGAGTTTCTTGTGCAATAAAGTCTTCGTGGCTGTTTGAGAGCACAGTGGATCTGTAGGAAGCTTGTCTGATCCACTCCCTCCTGATGTGTGGGTTTGACAATGCAAGAGAAATAAATAACATTCTTAGATGAATGTTTTCCTTCTGCTGATTTTCCTCTGGGACTAGCTGGATGAAATGTTTGAACAGTCAAACACAGATTCAAGAGGCAGAAAAGACAGAGGTGAACAATCAAAGGGGACAGGAGCGTGAATCTGGCGTAGATCCTGTGATGTTGGCAGAGCGTGTGCTGATCCAGGTTAAATCAGAAAGTCCCTGTTTTCCTGCACCTTCTCCTGTGATCCACAAAGTTACTGTAAAGCTTCTAGAACTGCCAGGAAGGATTTAACAAGCAGATGGCTTGGGACTAGCACTTCATTAGTGTCAGTGGTTGAATCCTTCCTGGAGCTGCCACAGGGGCACCCAGCAGGTATGTGCGTTCTTTAGAGGGTCGCCAGCTCCCATGGAAAACGCAGAGGTGGTGTCACCATCGCGGTCTGCTTAGGCTTCCCTGTATAATTATAGTTGTGTACTCACAAAACTGTTGTTAAGAGATGACATTTCCACCCAAAATGCCTTATTTCTGCTTAACTCCTGGCACAGAAGTGTCTTTTTGCTTGTAGGTTGATCTCACGGGGATATTGAGTAGCCTTCAGCCGTGTTTAGATTACTCTGCATACAAAAGAGATTAGAAGCACATCACCTCTTACATCACATTTTGGTAGTTGATTTTAATTAACTTGTTTTTAAAGCAGGGATTCTGGTTTCGTTCTTCCATATTAGATTTTTTGGTAACGTGGTGTTCTGGTTTTCATGGATTAATTCTTTGTGGGCTCTTTTGTATCTACTGCGCTGTAGGTTTTAATGCATTAGCACTTCCTCTCTGAAGAGAACAGTTGAAAATAACACTCGCTCCTGAGAGAAGTGGTTTTGGTTAGGTCCCAGCTGGATCTGTAATGGACACTTCCATTTCTCTGACTCTCTGCTGATAGCATTGCCAAGGTGCAGGTAGATGCAACTTCCTGGCTTCTAATTTGAGCAACATTGAGTTTACCCACTTGTCACATATATCAAAGCATATTAATTCACCCACTCTTACCTATAGTGCCATCCCCTGACCTCTGTGGAACAGTCAGTTTGAACTGTCCTTGACAGAGAGGCTGCTGGCTGTGCTTTTGGAGCCCTGGCAAGGGCAGCCTGAAAATAGCAGCGGATCTTGGGGATGTTTTCTGTTGAAGCTGAGGAGGCACCTGCACCTGAGGAGGCAGCGGGTCCTGTAGCTTGCAATGAAGGTGCAGGATGTGTTGGAGGCACGGAACATTTTGAAATGTGCACGTACCTCCCCTTCTCTGCTTCTGATTATTACTGGACACGTTTTTCTGGAATGCATAAAGAATTATTAGCTGCAGTCTGGCTTTGCTGAGTTTTTAAACTTCCAAGGGCTGTACAGGCTTCCAACAACGGGCTGCGTACTCAAGAGAAAGAGCTGCTGAAGCTTAGTAGCAGAAGTAACGGTTGTCCCAGGAAAGTGAATGCACAGATTGTGTTGTAGACACCCAGTGTTGTGCAGCCAAGATGCTCTGTAGATGGAGACTGGTTTGCAAAAGAAAAGAAATCTCTCTCAGCTGTCCTGCATCTTTAAATGCCCTTGATCCCCTGTCTCTGTGCCTGACCTTGCGTGCTTGTCGCCATTCCCCGCGCCGATCCAACAGGAGCGTTTTCAGCCAGGATTCCTTTGCTGCCCTTTATCTGCAGCCAGGCCATGAGGCAGCTGCTTTTCATTCCTGTGCTAAGCCCTGCCGGGTAATCTCTTGGGAGCTGGGGGAGGCAGAAGGGAAGGCAGCCCCCAGCCAGTTCCCTTTGCTGGAGCCTCGCTGCTCCACCTTCCCGTTGTGGCTCTGGGGTAGAAATCTGGCCTCCCTCGGTCCCATCTGGACACAGGCAGCATCTATGCACTTCCCCCAAGGTGACATTATGCAGCGCAGAGTGAAAGCAAAGCTGCAGCTCAGAGGGCTTGAAAACCTGCCTGGCGGTTAGAACAAAGGGCTGGGGATCGTCCTCCCAAACTTTGTTCCCAAAGCCCCTTTGCAGTTCTGTGTCCACAGGCCGTGTCCTGGGGGCTTGTGCCCAGATCCTGGGTAGAAAATACCAAAGCCCGCTTGCTGCACCCACATAGAGTGAAGCAGTGGAGGCCACTGGCACCGGAGGGGGTTATACCCAGAGGAAGCGTTGGGCTTTGGGGAGAAATGCAGAGGAAAAGAGATAAAGTTTGACTCTTGTTAACCCACACTTCTTCCCCAAACAGCGTTGACATACAGTCAGCAGCTACTGAAGCTGCTGAGGGGAGATAAAAGGAGACAACGACAGCAGTGGAGGAGGAGATTGGTTCTCAGGCCCTCTCTGTGCTCCAGTTCTGCCTTTTGAAATACTGAGCTCTGTCGCTCTGAAACGCGTTTTCCCCCCTCCATCTGCCCTGGCCAACCCCCTCCCTCAAATTATCCCGGGCTGTGCTGCTTTGTGGGGTTTCTCGTGCGCGGGCGCTCGGGCTGCTGATCCAAGAGAAGGGAGAGCCCTGGCCCTGACGCAGCCAAAAACGTCTCGGCCGCCCGGCTGACTCAGCGTGGCGCTGGGCTGGGTGCCAGAGCCGAGCCACATATCTTCCGAGCTCACACGCTCTCACGTACCCCTTTCTGCTCTGCACAAGCTGCCCTGCGAGCGCCCGTCCAGGAAACCAGACCTTGCAGGGGGAAAGCACTTTTGGGAATATCGTAGTGAGAATTGTGAAGTTTCCCACCACGGCAGCTGGGAAACCCTTACCTCCTGCTGGGGCTGGCAATGGGCCTTTTCAGAAAAACACTTTTTTGGGGGGGTTCTTGCTCATTGTGGCTGCACACTGAGCCCAGACACAGTGCAGAAACACATCCCTGGGTCTCTGCCTTCTGAAGGTTTCCCGCTGCCGTCAGCAGCAACGTCGCACCCCCAAAGCCCTTCCCTGCCCTTGTGCTGCCCGTGATGCACAGAAACAAATGGTTCTGCTGATGTGGTAGTTTGTGATTTCCTGCAAGGCATTTTTGGTTTGGTTTTTAGACGGAAGGTGAGCACAGACTGCCTAGATGCAGGGCAGAGTATTTGAAGTGATTATCCTCTCTGCGTCCAAGTGCGGAGAGGCTCTTTTCTCTGACAAGAAAATGAATATCCCTGCAAAGAGAAGCTGCAGTGAGTGAGAGGAGGTGCGGGCTGGGGAACAGCACATGGACTTCCTAGAGATGCCCTTGGCCGAACGCCATCCAGGAGCACCAAGGCAAATGAAGTTAATGAGGACTGAGCTCAGCCTCCCTGGGACATTCCAGCGACTGCCTTATGTGGCTGAAAGATTTTATTCTAAACCTCAGACCTATTCGCTATTTGTGTCCCTGGAGTGCTTTGAACTTGGACTCACCCACCAAATCTTGCTCTTAAAACTCTATACCTGTGTCTAGATTTGAATCCTGCTCTTTTGTTGCACACCTTGCTTTGGAACTGAAAACAGGACAGAAGCATTAATATAAATCTGTGGTGACTCTAAAAGCTTCCATCTCTACAGCAAACATAAGGTTTCTTCTCTCTGGTCGTGCGGCGAAGGGTGGGGGCAGGTGAGCAGGATGAGATAAGTAATTCAGTTAAGTAAATGGGCATGTCACGGGCAGGCAGACAGGATTGTGAGGTGAGAATTACTGAGAGCAAAAAAATAAGAGGATCTCAGTGGGAAAAATCTTCCAGGTTGCTCAGAAAATTGGAGAAGAACAAGGACAAAGCATAAGTCAAAAGCAGCTGTGCAGTCAGAAAGAGACCCCTCCCAACACCCTGTGTAGAAGCTATCGAGCAAAGACGTCGCTGGATGCAATAAAAGATCTAAAGCAAACAATAAAACCCTGATTTCTTCCTCTGCCTTTCAAAGAGGTCTGGCAGGAGGGCTGCATTTTAGCAGTTGCCCTTAGGTTTGGGAACCTGCTGAAGGGAGAGCGAGCCTGTAACTGTCAAACAGGATTTTCCCAAAGAGGAGGTATTTGCATTGGAAATACCCTGAGAAAGTAAAAGCAAAAAGCCTCTTTCTCTGCCCTGTAAAGACCCCGACCGGCAGCTGAAGGTGAGGTGGGGCAGAGAGAGGTGAGAGCGAGAATACAGTGAAACGCGCTGGAGCTGCCACAGCGCTATTGAAATTCAGACACAAAGATAAAGGGTTTTGCTGAGCAGCTCTTTCAAAAGCTCTCGGTCGCTTCCTCTAACCTGGGCTACTCCTTGGAATGAGACCTGTTCCTTGGCAGGGTTGGATGCCGTTACCTTCTGGCAGGAGGCTGGAGGACGCAGCGGGGAACGTGCCCTATTCTCAGCCATATCTGTGGCTCCTGTG